ATACTTCTACTTCTACTTCTCGTTCTACTACTCCCTCCTTTTCCCTCCCTCCCTCCCTCCCTCCCTCCCTCCCCTCCCCTCCCCTCCCTCCCTCCCTCCCTCCCTCCCTCCCTCCTTCCCCCCCTCTCTCCCTCCCCCTTCCTTGGGCCCTCCCCTGGGGCCCGTCTTTGAGGCCCTGGAAACCCTGTTGGGCTTGCTCGGGGGCGCGAGTCCTCTTGGGCGCCTCTCCGGGGCCCTGGAGACCCTCAGGGGCCTCTTGAGTCGGCTCGGACGCCCTCCAGACAGAACAGGCGAGCGCGCAGCACGTAGCTTACGACGCGCAGGTCAACCCCATTTGGGCCTCGCGGTGGGTTGGCCCCCAGGGCCTCTGAGACAGTTCGAGAGGCCCCCCGACACGCCCTGGACCCCCAACCGCGCTTCCAGGCCTCGAAAGAGTCTGCCAGAGTCTGCCAGGCAGACAGCAGAGCCCAGGGACACCGAGAAGCCCGGGTCTGGGCCCGTGTGGAAGTTTGTTGCATTTCTCATTCCAGAGGACCCGACGGAGCCTGTGGCGACGGCACGGCGGCGCATTTAGAATTCCATTGTGCTCTCGACAGTTGCACAACACCTCCCTCCTCGTCCGCCTCCCCCTCCTCGTCCGCCTCCCCCTCCTCGTCCGCCTCCCCCTCCTCCTCCTCCTCCTCCCCCTCCTCCCCCTCCTCCTCCTCCTCCTCCTCCTCCTCCTCCTCCTCCTCCTCCTCCTCGAACCCTACCTCCCTGCCGTGGCCGCGGTGTGGAGCGCCGCCAGCCGCCGCGCGTGTTTCCTCACCCCTTCCTCCTCGTCCTCCTCCGAAGCCAATAGAAAAGATCAACGGACCCGTGCAGCCTATCGTGACACATCTCTTCTCCTCCTGTCTCTTGTCATCTCCTCCCTCCTCCCCTGTCCTTGCTCCCTCCCCCATGCTCCTCTCTCCTGTCCATGCTTCCCTATCCCTACTCCCTGCTCATTTCTGGGTCCCTGGAGCTCGCATTCCCATTCCTGCGATGGCTCCTGTGCGGGTTGATGTTCTGGTGCGCCCGCAACCCAGAGTCCAGTCCCCCGACGCCGACATAGGGTCAACTTCGATACTATCGATCCGACTCCATATCGGTTTCGGCTGGCTCGGCCCGATTCGTTCGTGACAGTTTGACGATCCGATGCGGCCCGATGCCAGCGTGGCGCTGTTTTGACTCCTGGCGAGACCGATTCGATTACAATTCAGTTCCGACTCCGTGGAGATGCGGCCCAATCCGACGCACATATTGATCTGTCGGGTTAACCCAAGAGGGAGTCCAGCGACAAGGGGGTGGTGCAGTAGATTTGGTGCAATGGATTTATGGGGTTGCAATTCATTTGGGGCGTGCAATAAATTTCGGGGCGCAAGTGTATTGCTCTGCTTTCGCGTGCAATGCGTTACTTGCAGTACAATGCAATACATGTCCCCAGCGCAATACATTTGCAATACAATTGCCCCACATGTATTGCACCCCCCCTTTCAGCTGGACCCCACTTTGGGTCACCCAAAATCTGGCTCATGTGTCGATTCGATGCTGACCGCTCCTGCGACATCGTAGAAAAAAACTGGCGTCGTGTCTTTCGGTTGTGTCGCCTGGGTGTGTGGCCCCTCGCTGGTGCAAAACAACGCCCCCTCGCCCCAGGGCGCGCTCTAACCAGAATCTCCAGGCGGCTGGCCCGCCCCCGCAAAAAGCGGATATCGGGGGCGGCAAAGAGGGGGATGATGACTAGGGGGGCTAGACATCATGGCGAGGGCCATGATGTCCCCCCAGATTTCGTGGCGCCTCTTCTTATTTCAACACGTCCCCGGCCTCCCCTTGGGCCGCACACGTGCCGCCGGCCATAATTTGCGCCCCCCCCTCTTGGACGCCCCCCCTCTTGGCCGCCCCCGAGGTTAGGCATCACATGTGCCCATTCCTTTTTCCCTCCTGCTCCCCTTCTCCCCTTCCCCTCCCTCCCCCTTCTCTGTCCGTCCCCCCGGTCTCCCTCCTCCCTCCCCTGCCTCCGCCCCCCCTTCCTTCCCCTGCTTCTGATTCTGTCGCAAATCATGGGAGCCTTTTGTGTACCCTCGTAGTTCTGCCTCTCGAACGCTGATCGACTAGCGTCTGGTAGTAGATAAAATATCGTCGACTTAGCGTCGACTAGCATCGATTAGCGTCGATTCAGCATCGGGTAGCGTCGATTCGCAAGCGCCAACAAGATGGTATGGGAGGCTTCCATGAGTTGCCTCCGAACTCTGGGCTTCCTCTTCTTCCTCCAGTCTACATGTTCTCCCCTCTCCCTTGGCTTTCGTTCCTAATGAGCTCTCTGGAGCCTTCTGGAGCCTTCCGGATGTGCTGGGGGCTTCTGGAGGCCCAGACAGAACCAAGCTCGCAGAAAAACAGAGATCCTCAATTTTGGGACGACGACGTCGACCACGACGACGAAGACGGCGGCCGCACAGATGACGGTCCGTGCCCGGCACAGGCTGGGAGGGGCTCTCGGCGAGCAGCAGCCACTACGTGTCCCACAAGCACCCGCACATGGAGGAGCCCAAAGACGAGAGCAGCGGCGCCGACGGCGACGCCGTCGTCATCGTTCCAGAGGTTTTGTGGGCGTTCTTGGATCGGGCGTCTCGCAACATGGGGGGTGATGTCCCTGACCTTCCAGAAATAACACTCCAGACCTACAGATCTATCTGGACTGCCTCAAACCTCGACAAGGATTAGGACGTCGACGTCCCGGTGCTATTTTTGAGCCCTCCTGGAAGGTCAGGGGTGTGGGGGGGGGATCGAGGGTTGCAAGAAAGGATCCTAAAGGGGCCCCCTGGATCCACGAAGTTCACCTTTCCTTCACCCCCCCGTGTATTGCCCCCCATGAAGGAACGCTTAAGTCGGGCCTGTCCCTCTACAGGGGGAATACCCCAAAATACTAAAAAGATAATCGAGGGACGATTTGTTTAGTATATTTGAGCACGTTTGAGTATTGTCTGGGTATTTTTAATTCTTCGCCCGAAATCCGCCTGTAGGGCTGTAGAGGGACATGCCCGACCTAACTCTGGCCGGAGGTTGACGACGATACCGCCGCCGCCGCCGACGACGACGATTACGAGGACGAGGACGATGACGAGGACGGCGGCGGTGGCGGCTGCGGGGTGCGGCGGCTGCGGCGGCTGCGGCGGCTGCGGCGGCGTCTGCGGCGGCGGCTCCGCCGGCGGCGGCGGCGACCAGGAGGGCTGGGTGGAGGAAGGCGCCTGGGGGCAGACCTCCCTGACCTTCCAGAGTGCTAAAGACTAGCCTTCCAGACAGGAAAGAAGAAGTCGAGGTCCTGGCGTTGTTTTTTGGCCCTCCTGGAAGGTCAGGGCTTTGGGGGGGGGGACCTGACGGGGTGAGGAGGCAGCAGGAGCCTCACAAGGGGGGTCGAGGCGCAAGAACGCGATCGGCGGTGCGCAGGAGGGGGCCGCGCGGCAGGGTGGCGGCCTCCTCGGCCGGACCCGGGAGCTTCTCGTCGAGGAGGCCTCCCCGGAGCCGGGAGGGCCTCCGTGAGGCCCTTTCCTGCTTCCTCATAGAATGAAGTCGGGCCGGTCCCTCGACGGGGGGAAGATTCCCGAATAGTTTAAAAACAGTCTGGCGACGAATGTTGACAATTTTCGGGCATGTGGGGAGTATCTTTCGTTTTTCGCCCAGAATCCCCCAGTAGGGGGACACGCCCGCTCTAACCTTAGAATCGGGAGTGCCCCAACGGCGTGGTGACCACACCGCGTGGTGAGTCCGTGGGGATTCGGAGTCACGGCGCGGGTTAGGGACTCGGGCTGTTCTGCAAGGACGTCTCGGGCGATGGGGACCTCCGGGCGTGTGGCGGCGGACCTCGTGGTGAGGCCGCTGGGGATTCCGAGGTCACCACGCGGTCCGTCACCACACGGTGTCTGGAGCCCCGGACCCGAAGAGAAGCGCCCCTGACTTTCAGGTCCAAGGGATCCACGCGGACCTCCAAAAGTGTATGTCCATCCGGAAGTGTATGTTTGTGCAGCTCTTCGAGTTCTAGAGGAGTCAAAGACGGAAATGCAACGGGAGATAGCTGATCTATGGGTTGTTCTCTGTGATCTTCTCAGCCCCCTCGTCGCTCTCTCAGGCGGCAGCGCCTGGGGTGTAAAGTTTAGCATCTGCGCTAGTATCTTCTTGGGAGCAGTCCGGCCGAGTCCGGCTTCATCCTGTCGAGGCTGGCCTAGCCCGGCTGAGTTCGGCTTGACGTGGTGTTTCTTCGGGCCTGCCTGAGCCGGTGGAGTAGTTCCCCCGTAGGGTTCAATGGTCCTTAGTCGTTCCCGGGGTGTTTTCCCAGGAGGTGCCTCCCATGAGCTTCCTTCTCCTTTCCGTCTCTTCGTCATGTTCCGTTTCCTCCTCAATGATGTTGCTCCTCGTGTCCATTCTCTCCGCCCTTGACGCGCAGGACTAGGGCCGCTTTGACCTCGGGAGGGGCTCTGGTGTGCAGGACGCTTTTGAGACCCAGGTCGTGCAGTCTATTTGCTGCCGAGGGCAGCCGTGGCCAGTAAAGCCCGTGTCTTTTCTCCTCGTCCAGCGTTCCATCTGGCGGCACGATGGCACGTTGCCCAGTGTTTGCGTTCATTTTCCACTTGAGGTACCTACGTGTTGATGCTGAGCCCTGAAGGCTGCTTGGTACAGGCCCCCGGGGTCGTCATGTGCCTACGGCGTTATGACAAACATCTTGCCTGTCACCTAGTACGCGCACGACAGTGCCAGCGGCCCTCAGAAAGAAAGAATGATGGCTGTATCCATCTCTCTCTTCCTGGGGCATGGAACAGCAGAACGCAGCTGCTCGGCTGACGGCCAGTACAGTCGGATCTCTGCATGTATCTCCGATGATCCACGGATTCTGCACTCAAGCTTCTCACCGTTGCGATCGGCCTTTCGCCTCCTAGGAGCTCATCCTTGCCGTGGGCGAGAGCTTCAACAAGCGTATCGAGGAGGAGAACATGAGGCCGAGCATGCCACGCCCCCTTCACCTGCGAGCAAACAGTATCAGACCAGACTTTCGTGGACAGCTTGCCTACCATGAATGAGATCATGCAGCATATTCCTGGCAGTATGCACTGCGCGTGGTGCTGCCTTTCTTGCTGACTCGGGTGCTGCTCAAGGCGGTGATGAAACCTACAGGGAGGCAGGTTGTAGCTCGCCTGTTTGGATCCGCGATGGACTGCACGCCCGTTGCCACAGCGGAGGCGTTGCTCTCTGGATTCGGTCTGGAAGCTTTGAGGGCTAGTCGGTATGATGCCTTTGGTGGCGAAGGGGATGATATTCCTTCTCTTTCATTATATCTTACCCATCCTCAAGTGGACACTCGATTCCTTGTCCGATGGATCCATGTCCAATAAGCTGATTGGCTAAGCACGACCGGCTGGTCGAGATTGCATGGTTCGAGCGAGGAACATAAGCAGGCCTTGGATGAGGATACATCGCTCCAGAGCGTTCCAGAGTGCTCTCAGAGCGTGCCGGATCGCTCTCAAAGTGCCGCTGCGCCCGATGCATCCTTTGGACCCGCCAGTTCTCGGAGATTTCCGATTTGCCCTCCTCCTGGCTTTGTCTTAGAACAGGCCCTGCCTTCAACAGCGTGGAAGATCACGACCGTAGCCCACGCCTCGAGCCAGATCGACCCGCGAGGGTCTCGGGGCAGGAGCCTGGGTGGGCACGACCGGTGTGCCGAAAGTAAGATTGCGACGCCTTTTGGATCATCGCGTGGGTTGCGTAGGATCCAGGGCAGTTATGAGTGGATGCTTCAGGGGCAACGGCTGTGGGGGACAAGCATGCGGTGGGATGCATCGACCCCCAATCGCCCATGGATCGCCGATAGGGGCCCGATAGCCCCAACCTGCCCAAGAACACGCGGGTTCACTACCGGGGGCATATCGCCGATCTATCGGCGATGTATCACGTCCCCCTCAATCGTCGCCCCTCATTGCTAAGGTGGGCTATGTCTGGCCGCACCCAGCTTACCAGTGTGTTACGAAGTGACCCGCGAGGCGGGTTGGGTGGGGGCAATATCCTCTGCTGTCGATTCCCCCAAAGAAACATCATGCAAGAACCAGGCTTGGCCAGCACACCTCTGCATCCACCTATGATTAAGTCGGGCCTGTCCTCCTATAAGGGGGCGCCTCGAAGACAAACAGTCAGGAGGGGAAACACACACACACAAAGACACAACTCATCGTCGATTCCCCAGGAGGTGTGGGAACATAAGGGAAGTGGGGGGGAAGACAAACACATAAAACAAAATTGGAAAATATGGGGGATCCTGTTACTTGTGTCTACTTCTTTGTGTGTCCCAGGGCCCCTTCAAAAAGACCCCTCCCAAGCCCAAAAGGGCCCTTCTTTCAGCGTCTTGACTGCAGCAACCCCCGCCCTTACCCCATCGGTCGTTGAAAGCAGGTATTCTTGGTTTTTCCAGATTCCAGCCTACTTCAAGCGCTGTCCTACTGCAATGATCGAGTGGCTTCACCTTTCCCGCCCTCCGTAGGGGGGGGACAGAACCCAATCTACTTTCAACTCTTTCCTGCTTCATGGTTCTACCTACGTCTGCTTTCCTGCTCCATGGTTCTACCTACTTCTTCCGAGCGATGGGTGCCCTCCATCTCCCCAGCCTGCCGCTTCGGCAGCGACTTCGACGCGGGCCGCGGCACGGGAGCGGCGCCTGCAGCAGCAGCCGGCGCGGCTCTGCAGACTCTCCCCGCGTCGGCCCTGCTTGTGGCCTCCGCCCCGCGACCGGAGTCCCCGCCGCCCGCGGGCGCCCTGGCCGATGCTTGTCGTGGAGGCGTAGACAGCTCCGCCAAGTGGGCGGAGCCCCCTCAGCCCTTGAGCTGCTCAGGGCACCTGTGACCCACTGATAATGCTAGGTCAGGCCAGAGAGTGTCCACCTTGTGGTCGGGCCGAGGACTAAGATCGAGATCGGCTCGGGAGGGTACCCTCGTGTTATGTGTGTTTGGTGGGTGCTCTTGTGCATCCCAGGGGATTATACCCTCGAGTGATCTTATGGTTTGGGGTGTTCAGGCCGTCGGAGGGTCGTACTTTCTTGAATGATGCTTTTCTGTCCCAGGTCCGGCTGATCCACTTCTAACCGCCCCTTTTCCTGAGCCCCCCCCCACGGCGATCCAAGCAGCACGGCGCTCCAGAGCTGCTGGGGAGGGGGGGGCGTCACGCAACAGCGCCTGGGGCGATAGTACCATCCATCGGGCTCCAGACAGCTCGTGGGCGTCGTCGCCGTCGTCGAGACGCGTTGCCGTCCTCACCAGAATGTTTCCCGGCGGCAGAGGTCCATGTCTTCAGCGCTCCACCGCTCTCCGAGGGCGTGCTGTCTCAAACTCGGGCAAGTTTTCAGGAGGAAAAGAAACACACAGACACAATTAATCGGCGATCCCCAGAAAATATGGGAAAATATGGGAAGTGGGGGGGAAGACGAAAACCTAGAAAATATGGGAAAATATGGGGGACCTTTTTATTTGTGTGTATTTATTTGTGTGTCCTGGGGCCCCTTCACTTCATTCGTCTCTCCGTTTCAAGCAGCGTTGGGTCGGCCGAGGAAGCGTGCAAGTGAGTGCCGACCTGCGCGAAGCCCAGATTTCCAGTCGGGCCCCCCACGCTCACCCCCCTCCCGCCTCCATGCAAGTGAACCTGCAGGAGTCTCAAGAGAGGCCATGAAGGCCCCCAAGGTCCCCAGGATTCCCGAGATCCCCTAAGCCTCCACACGGACTGCTGGAACGAGGGCCGCTAGATGTGCTGGAAATGTTGAAGCGTCTCTTGAGCCAATCTCATCAGCGATGAGCACAAACAGCATACATATAAACTGTCGGAGCTTCGTGCGGATTTCTCGGATCGGCGCTTGGGCCCCCCTGACGGCGCTTCCGGCGCCGCCCCTGGCGTGCTCCGAGCGCCAGGGAGGGGGGTCCAGCGCCGATCCAAGCAATCCGCGCGGAACTTCGAGGTGTTCTGCTCACAGTGGAAGCCCATGCCAAGACACACCTTGCTTGCCTCTAGGGTGCCATGGGTTTCGATGGCTTTGCTGTGGAAAGCGTGATGCTCCCACACCAAAACCAATGGACGTCCTGGGGCTCCAGGGGTGGATTTCGTGCATAATGGTTTCTTGTGTTCGAGCTCCTGCTGCATGCTTGTGCTGGTGTTCCTTCACTCCACGACATCACTATTGCGATGGCGCCAACATCGCAGAGCGGACTTCGTTCGGAAAACAACCGAATGGGCCCGGAGTGTCCTGGAGAATTTCGTTCCGGATTTCGCAGTGGATTCCGTGCGGATTTTTGTTGGCCAGGATTGAGGCCTAAAACAAGTCCGCGTGAAATTCACTTCGTTTTTCGCCCGCCGTTTCGGGGTTCTGCATGGACAGAAATCCACGCGAGAATCCGCTGCAGCACGTCTGCAAAGTCGGTGCAGTGTCTCTGGTGGTCGGGTCATGCAGAAATTAAGTCCGGCCTGTCCCTCTACAGGGGGAGTATTCAAAATAGTAAAACAAGTAGTCGGGGGACTATTATGTGAGTATTTCTGCACAGAGTTGGACTATTCTGTGACTATTCCTGCAAGCATTTCTGTGACTATTTCTGCAAGGATTCTGCACAGCATTCTGCACAGTATTTCTGCAAGTATTTCTGTGACTATTTCTGCACAGTATTTTTTATTGTTAGCCCAATCGCGACGAGCGAGGAAAGGAGCACTTCCTGAGGGGGTCCAGCGCTCCCTGGCCCTGCCGCACGGTGCCTGTCCTGTGCCGCGCGCCGTGCCCGCGCCGAGCTCCCAGCGTTTAGTCGGGCCTGTCCCTCCACAGGAGGAATCTTCAAAAACAGCAAAAAATAGTCATGGAATCTGTTTCGAGTATGTCTGATCAATTGGGGAGTATGTTTCGAGTTGGTTTTGTTTTTGGGTTTTCCCTTCGAAGTGAAATGCAAAAGCAACAAAACAGCGCCCACAATCCCCCTGTAGGGGGGCAGGCCCGACCTGATCCCAGCTGTTCCCTCGTGGCCCCGCCGTGGCTGAGTCGGCTGTGTTGGGCCTGCTGGTCCGTGATCATCATCACCATCATCATCATCATCATCATCATCATCATCATCATCATCATCATCATCATCATCATCATCATCGTCATCATCATCATCATCATCATCATTACCCCCATCATTACCCTCACCATCATCAGCATCATTACCCTCATCATCAGCATAATCTTCATCGTCATCGCCATCATCGCCGCCATCGTCATCATCATCAGCATCATCATCAGCATCATCATCGTCATCATCATTACTCCCATCGTCATCGTCATCATCAGCATCAGCATCATCATCATCGTCATCACCTTCGTCATCATCGCCATCATCTGCATCGTTATCAGCATCATCATCATCACCATCATCAGCAGCATCATCACCATCATCATCACCAGCATCATCATCGTCATTACCATCATCATCAGCAGCAGTATCAGCAGCATCAGCATCAGCATCAGCATCACCATCAGCAGCATCGTCAGCATCTCCAGCATCAGCATCAGCATCAGCAGCATCATCATCACAATCAGCATCGCCATAACTTTATGCGTCGTCGAAAATCCCCCTGTAGGAGGACGTGCGCGGCCTAAAAATCCGGTGGCCCACGCGGCGAGAACACGCGGAGCGAGCGGCGGCCTGCCCCGCCGCCCGACCCGCGGAGGCCCTGCCGAGGCGATCGCTTCCCGGCGCGAATTCGGAGATCGATGCATACGAGAGAGAGCTCGATCAATTCGGCTCGGGAGAGCGTTGTTTTATGTGTTGTGCTCGTGTGTCAGTTTTTTTCCTCTGGTGGAACGCTTGCTGCCCGGCCCCCCCCCCCCCCCGAGGCAACGCTAGGGGGCAGCATGCGAACCCTACCCCTACCCCGCGCAAATTCTCGGGGGGAGGGTGGGGATCACTTCGCTCGGGAGCTCCCGAGTGAAGTGAACCCCAC